TACAGATACTCCACTCTCCATAAAGTTTGTGAAAAGCCAGGTAAGACTGCTTTCAACCAATGTTTCTGTACTTCTTTCAGCACAGTGTGGCATTCCTACATTTGCCTCTGACAAACCAGCAGTAGAGTTCTGTAAGACATCAGTTGACTAAACTGCTACGCGGATTAACTTAAGCCACGGTGTCCTAATATATGTGCTCAGCATTCAATAAAAAACCACCCTACGGGTTGAGAAAGGGGTAGCGCGGCCCTCGACTGCTCACGCAGTGCAACAGGCCCACGTTCCATCGAACCTTTCTAATGAGAGAACTGACCTCGTAAAATTGAGTTGAAAGCACTTCCCTACTCAGTTAACGGGTACACAATGAGTTTTTTCTCTAAGGTGTTTTGGTGCACATATTACGTGAAACATGAGCTTACTTTAGCCCAAGTAACCAGGATCCGTTCAAGCATGATGCGTAAGTCCAGAAGGCGTTTCCGATTAGAGCTCTCTTTATCTTCCTGCCGGTCCATCATTACCACAAATTGGTGATTCTCGTTCAATCGGAAATGGTGCTTCATTCGACATTTCGAATTCGGCCCCAGCTTGTTTTCTTGCGCGTCATGAGTTTCATCAGGATCTTTGGACCAATAGGGAAGGTTCAAGGAGCTGTTTGCACTAACTACTCCTTCGTCGCGTTCATCTTCCGAGAGTTTTTCAGGATACCGAACCACATAGTGCCCATCTTTTCCCTAAAAGATCATGAGGGGTAGTTGGTAAGATTGAGCACCAAACTACTGAGGAAAAAAGTTACGGTTCATACGGAGAAATTGGAGTATGCCAAGTGGTCAGATGGGTAAAGCTGATCGAATCCCCCTCTCAATTTCTCTCCAGGTAATATCCTGTTAATTCTATTTGATCGTCACAAACTGGTCCCAGTAAATCACCCCAAATTCACCTAATCGAAAGGTCTTCACATGGTTGCCAGTTGCCATCAGATCAATGTCACAAAAATATAGTGCTACGAAAAAGGTGGCTAGACGGTAATCAGATGCACTTCGTTGAGAAATAAAAGGTACACACTATACCGGCCCTGTTGATTTTGTTCCATTATCACCATCCGGGAAGCGATATCCGTCAACTAACCCGGGTTTGATAGTTTGAGCTGCCAAACATCGTTTTTAGGTCACAAAGGGTTCTAGCAAATAATTCGTTTCTTAGCCAGTTTGTCGCTCCTAGTTTGACAAGCCAATCGTTCGTGGGCGAGCTATTTTTCGCATCAGCACAGTGACGCACTCACTGTTTCCGCCAGATCAGGACACTAATTCAGGGACTGAAATTCCTCGGATATTTATTGTGCACAATTTCTTAGGATAGTGTGGATCACGCTACTTCAGTTTATAAGCTACATTTGACAAACAGAATGCTGTCGTTCAAGCATCGTAGATGATGGACGTTGTCAATGGGTTTAATGACCTTCCCGTTTTCAAAACCGTCCTCTGGGACTGGTGCAGTTAAGTGAATTAATTTAACAAACTGATGGGAGATTTGCCTTTGACTATAACTAAATTTGTGGTAGCGTCTTCATCCTTCAGATATAGTGTGTGTTGTATCTGGTAACCGGATAGTTCGAATTATTTATCATTTCTTGCATTTAGAAAGGATCTGAAACAAGAGGTGAGATAATTCCACCGTGACCAAAGTTTGCAGTGGAATTTCGAGCAAAAATGCATATATATATACATATATATAATCGGAGATGCAGGCACGGTTACAATTTCTAATGATCAAGAGATCGAAACTGAGTGTGAAACCAGAAAAATGAAGCACCAATACTGTCTTTGTTGTTATTGTCATTTATCATAATCACCACTCTTGATCAGCTGTTCAAAGGTTAAGTATTCGAACGAGTGGCCGTAAGGTCACGGGTTCGGAACCCCCGCAGACTCATCAGATGTGCCCGAGTGATCATTCCCAATGAAGATTAAACAACATAGAGTATTTTTCGGCTTACAGGACAAAATTTCAATTAAAAATCCCACATTTTCTCACACGACTACCTATGGAATCTGTTAAAGTACAACGTCATGGGAAGTGTCAGTAGTGTGGCACAGGATTTCTGAGCCTATCTATGGATTTCGTGGACATCATGTAGGAAGCTCATTATATAAAATCAGTATATCACCTGGCAATTTGTGGCCGACTGCGGCTGGAGTCTTGATGACTTTGCTATCGTGGTAAAGACTCACGAGGACGTTCGTATCCATGACCGATAAAAAAAGACCGCCCCAGAGCTGTCAATATGTATGTGGGTGGTCCCTCCAGGGAGATACACCGTATCAACATGTGCAAGCGAATTTCTAACGTACCTCCCTTGAATCGGCGTTGAACAAATCCCGAAACATTAGCTTCTCATAGGAGGTCACACCCACCAGCACCATGCGATCGCCTCCGTAGGCTTCTCTGTAATCACGGACAGCCTCGCCAGCAACTTTTGTCAATCCTCTGTCGATTGCGTCAGAGACTATCCAACAGCCTACAAATGATCAGAAAATGACACAAACAGATGTAAAGAATTCACTGTATGTCCCCGGAGGACTCTAGCTTTTGGCTCACTACGTGTATCTTCAGTGTCGAGTGACGTGACACTCTCAAGGTAAGTTCAGTCAATTGAATTAAAGAAAATTCGTACACACGTTTTCATGGGTTTTCTACATAGAAATAAGCTTCGAATTTGAAAGGGTAAGTATAAACATGGTAAAAGAACGAATAGGCGAAATTGAACCGGTATCTATAGTTTGTTTGTGGTATAGATAGAAATTTTTCTCCATTTGCCACCGCATGACAACTCAAACGGAACCTACGAAACCCGGGCAGCGGAAATCCCAACCCGAACACAGGCAGGGCGCACTTACGCACGCCCTTGACACATGTACTCGTATGAGTGTTCACCTCTATAAGGCTTCCATACGGCTACGTATGCTTTACTCATTTAGTAGAATCCAAACTCATGTTCTATTTTGAAAAGAAATTGCTCCGGAAGACCGTCGAAAGCAACCGTGGTGCGGTTAGCCATCTCGTGACAAGCGCTATACCGTGGCAGTAAAACACAACTAACCAGCTTCCGCATACTTCATGGACACACACATTGATTACTGAGTAATAATGCATGCTTTCTTCAAATAGAGTAGGTGATTTGATATAAACATCTGAATTCTCGTTAGTTTGGTCAGGACATCCATGACATCCAACTTCCCCAGATTAGGTAGTTCATTGTTCGGATGGACTTAATTTAGGTAATCAGTGCTGCCCCAATAGTCAGATCTGAATATGGGTATAGTTCTGGATTAAGTGCCTGTTCATTATGACCGGTTAAATATACACACGGAAGTATTGATCATCACCTGAGCAGCCAGAGCATTTGACGGGACTCGCGCACTTTCCACGGACTCACTGATCCTCGCGCTTGTCTGTCCGTATCAAGTGATGAAGACCAGATTTTTCCTACTGTGCATCACAAACGGAACAGGTGATATGAACTACTATGACAGTCGTTCATGTTCGCCTTTCAAGTTTTACTGATTTTAATGCAAGATTGAACTGAATTCCTAGTTTATTCTTCAGGATGCTTTGTAACTGAGTGTATTCGCCACTCGAATGCACTTTGATGTACATTTATGGAAACTCGGATACCGTACCTACATGATGAGCTCCAAGAAGATGATACCGGTGATGGGCTGTCGAAGAGTTTCCAGCAACTTCATGAATAGTGTTATGTGAAGAAAATAAACTTCGGTGTCGGACATCCTGTCGACCGAAAAATGGGTCAGCCTTTGTACAACACATTCAGTTGAAGAATATCGTAAAAGAAGGATTTAGCTTAGCCATTCTTTAACACCAATGTAACTTGCGAATATGGGTACTAAGTTACCAGCTTGTTTGCTCAGAGGTTGTCCTGTCGATTCATTTGCTTGCGTCGACGAAAAACGCCCGTTACCTGGTTACTGACAGTTCGTAAGTAGGAAGAATTCACCAAGTGCATCATACTAGTCAGCTGGCTTCTGCATAACAATAATGGGAACAGCTCCTTGCGAAGAGCCATCAGAATATCCTGGTTACACAGCTGCTCATTCACCCATACCTCGGTAGGCTACATTAATCCAACAGTTCACTGGCTTGGCGGTCTGTCTTGATTCCTATGATGACATATCCCGCAATGGAAACATTTTAGTGTGCTCAGCGTCGATTGACGAAGCTTTGTCCAACAAAATTTGGAACTGTTAACTGTTGCTATCGTGATTCTGGTACTCATGGCTTTCGAATGTACTGGATAGCGCAGAGGGAGTGTTGTCGTTCGCGGGGAGAACCTTACAACCGAAGCGCGAATATGTTTCTTTATACACACTAGATAGTCTAGGTTTGTCCAGCTCTCACTGAAGGAGCAATGGTTGCATGCTCGTCTCGTGTGTCAGTTTGTGGAATTCGAATCCTGGCACTGTCACTGATATTCAGTGTTGATGATCTCCAAAAAGAAAACCAGATTTCAGTACTCTATCATCTTTTCAATGGACCGAAATAGTCGCGTCGGGAACGGGAAAGGACTGTTTAGATGAGAGTAATCCGGTTGAGATACATAAGATCAAAAAGAAAGGCATTAGAACGCGGTGCACTCCAGGGACAAATAAAACATGAAACAAAGCTTGCTAGACGGTCTGGGACAAGTTCTACTCACTCCTGAAATGATATGTCTTGAGAGCCATGACTTGAGGCTCTCTCCAGAAATGGCAAACAAGTCCGACAGCTTTATCGAAATGAATAATGGTGGGTTGCGGCAGAGAACATATGGGGTGTGAAACTAGCCTACAGACCCTAAAGTTTCCCATCAAAACGCTGTGTCAACTACGTGTGTTCAGTTCCTCCGTTGTCACTCTATCGTGGTTTGATTTTTCATCTATAGACCGTAGGCAGGACTCTCCATGGATCCCCTCATTAACACCAATTCCTTATGCAGAAATTTAGGCTGTGCTTGTATCGCCTCCAGCAATGACTGTAACCATTTGGCGTGAATAAGGGACTTTATATTTAGGATGAACCCCACTGGAAAGAAATCCCTAATCAGAGAACAATTTTCTTCAATCGTGTGGAGTCTAACAACCCAGGGGTTGTTAGACTGAAAGTCGGTTTCTGAAAATCGCGACTACCCAACACGTATAGCATGAAGACAACCGTCTTAGTAGACAAGATGAAGCCAAACCATGCTGAAGTGGCCCGAATGGCGAGACAGAAACTACGGTGCTTACAATGTGCAGTGCACCAATTCCAAGAGATGGTCATCGTTGTCCGCTCTTAAAGACAGTAGTCTCAGGAACGACCAGACGATTGGTTTCATGTGGCAACCGAATGGTCCTTATAAAAAACGTTTTCTGGAATAAATCTGCTGTGTATTTCGGCATTTCAGGGTGTCTTTTCACTTTCTAAGATTTTTAAACGTTTTTGAACAAGGCAATCGACGAGGAATGATATTGGAGGCAATTACTGTACAGTCTTTTTAGTGGGTACTGAAATCAGTATACTTATGACTGTTATCTGCTATCGCATATTTACTCAGGCTGTTTACTGGTCGCTCCCGAAATTCCTCCCAGTACGTATCAAAAAGTATCTATGGTTTTTTGTGAACAGCAGTTCGGTGAAATATAGAAGTGATTAGCTCGGCCAGCTCTTGTGCCTTAAGAGCTCAGGAGAATTTTCCAAAGCGTGTCGTGATTTTCACCCAGTTATTGTGAACGCTGATAGGCCGAACAGTTCAGATACCAAAATAGCTTGTATTAAATATCGCACGTTAATGCGGCATAGTTCCATGGTTTTCTTGACGTTGATCAATTGACCCGACTGTGAGAAAAACTGTCCATTCGAAAACCTACCAAACACGCGCATTTTCTTCCTCAAAACTAGATAAATGTGACTGTAACAATCAGTTACGTAATGTCTGAAGTCGGGTGATTAATTGATGAAACGATTTGTTGCAGCGTCAGGCATCCACCTGTTTCGACACAATGGATCAAAACAAGTGGCACATTCATCGTCATTTAAATATGTCTGGTTGAATTTGGTATTCGGCAGAGATCGAAAATTTAGATTTAGGTAATACATTACTCATAAGGTCGCTGAAAATTCTTCAACAGCCCACGACCGGTTTCGCTCTTCTTGGGGCTCGTCAGTTAGACACAGCCCGCTAGTTTCCAAATTGTACGAAATTAGAGAAATGTACTCATTTGCAAACAAATTAGGTTTTGCGAGAGACTCACCTGGAACCCAGCTGAATCTCTCGTTTGTGATGTTTCCAGATAGATTTAACGCAATGGATGTTCCGGTACAAGTAACCAGAAACAGTTGTGGCTCCCAAGTTGAAAAAAAACCAGTGGAATTTCATCGAATAGTTTGCCCGTGAACACACATTCGGCATTCAGGGTTGTTATACGGACATGCAAAAATCAGACCAGTGTTTTTTGGAACTGTATACAAATCTCATAGTGAAACGGTCAACACAGTGTTACTATATTTTCATCTAGAACTGGATGTCATGTTGACAGCGTGGATAAGTTCTCCAAGTGCGACTTGGACAAGTTCCGCCCCTACGATATATTCGCCCATTGGTTTCACTGATAAAAGAAAATAGGTGTGACAGAAGAAGGACGCCCCTATTGATTGATGGTGGACTCGTAATAGCACTTTACGACCCTGATTTATTGGAATCCATTCTACATAAAGTTGGTGTATATAATAAATGAGCAGTAGAAAAAAGGTCAAGTGGGCTCAAGCATGAGTCGTAATAAACCAAACTCTACTTACCCGCACTTTCCGCAGCTTTCCACAGCCCATTCTTCAATGTCATTTTGAACTTCTTGCTCAGTTCCGCTCGTGCTCCAATTACACTGATGATGAGCGTAGGTGCCTTCAAGTTCCAGCGTTCTGTAAGTAGACTTTTCCACTGTGTTTGAGATGGGCATGAGGCGACCGCAGCATACTAATTGGAATAGAATGTAAGTAAACAAGAAGTAAAAAAATAACGCATCATTCACTCCGTAAAGATTTCTAGAGTAATCTATCATTAGTAGAATTGGGCAACAAAATAAGTTTGAAGGGATGTAGCAAATTTTGAATAGTGCACCACCGTTGACCGCATGTTGCTTCTTGGGACAAACATGATATTTCTTCGTAAGCAATCACAGGGCCATACCATACAGCATCGTACCAGCGAATAAGTAGGCGAGAATTAGCCTTTTATGTTAACGTCAATGTCATTTTTGTTTTGCCGTTCCATGTCAAAGCAACACAACCTTTTTCAAGAAGTTATTACCTTAAACTGAACGTAAAATTATCACTACTAAATTTCAGATAACACTGGACGCTTTCAAGCAAAGCAAAACCAGGCGGTCGGAAGGCTGTAAAATTATGCGTTGTTAGTCACTGTCGCACGTGGCACCTAGCTCAGAATAAGGAAGGAAGTTTGGAATAAATAACGGATTGCTGAGAGTAAGATGGGCTGCGAGAATATATCCGTCTCGGGAACACGTAAGATTCGTCAGGGTTTTATGGCAGTTAAGGCGGAATATGAGCAATCTTGTGTGGCGCCATATTTTCTCGGATTGTGACAATGCATTCGTCCAATGGTCACGATTGTTTTTAAATCCAGGTGGTTGTGATGTGGAGTTACATAACTGCTTTTTTTCTGGATTCCTTTTGGGGCCCAAACTCTAGCTGGGCAAAATCCAGAAATAGAAAACAACGTGACTGATATCATGTGATATTTTCCCTTTCTACCATCTGGGTGACAAAATCAATGGTTTTTAGATGATGATATGAAAAAGGGGTGTTACAGTAGCCATGAATGCAAACCACGGGTTTGATGCAATCTGATCTAACCACTGAGCCATCTTGCTAATAATCACGATGTATTTCCCTCTCCAACCTGACAAACCTGAGAACTAATCAGTAGTTAAGTTTTGCTCGAAATATGACGCCCTGTTGGGAGAATTGCACAAATTACAGCTTTACCCTTCTGAATGTCAATCAAATACTGTCCTTTTTGAATTGGGCTTTATTTCAAATGACCACCTGAGAAAATGCTCCCCAGAGGAAGATGATCGCACTGTAAACTGTTACGTTCCTCAGTGAGCTTTCGATAAGTAGGATGCCTCGTCAAACCATAACTTACTCAACTTCCCTTGTTGAGCGAAAGTCCGAACTTATTTTTGTAGTAAATAATCACGATTTAGCAGGATTTTGCCATGAATACGCTGGTCACAACGACACTTCACCAATAGTCTTAACAAGCGTGACAGTTGGCTCATGTGCAGATTTATTCTTACCAGCCGTGAAGTCACCATGTCAATGGGTTTTTTTTCAATAAACAAGCGCCTGGTCTGAATTATCCGAAATACCATTATTGTATACCCTTGCGGTTAGTTTCAACTAAAACGTTGTGTATACCCGGAGCTACCGTCGATTGCACTCTCTGCATAAACAGTTTTCATAAACTTTTCGATTACAAAAGAGAAGAGAAAGTGATACTTTCTATAACTTTTATCCCTACTTACTGGCCTTGTGCCACGAATGTTTAGTTGTGCACATACACAAACAGTCATGGTCTTTACACAGAGGCCATTTAAATCAAAGTCCTCTCATCTTGAAATAAAAATAGGACACGTGAGATAAGCGTACCCAACCTGGAATGCAACGACTACATCTAGTGTCCGACCCAATGTGCTTGTCATTCACACGTTATCGTTATCGCTGTTCACACCTGCCCATGTGTGAAACAACTACCTTATCAAACCCTTGAACTCAAATGCAACCAACGTAAACTGTGAGGAGCGGGCCAGCTGGAAAGTGATCAATAGAAAATATTTATTTACGAGTGAGCGGCTTTCTGTGGATTATAGACTTCCTAAGAAACGCCTCAACCGTACAGCGGTTGTCCACCCTCTTTTCCATATGACAGTAATAAAAGGTCGATCAAAGAGCAGGGTGCCTTACGATAACGTTATGTTGTGTCAGTAGTAAGCTGACACAACAAGCAAAGAAGTAAGAGCAATAAAAACACAACTGAACTGAGGTTAGCAGTAAACACTCAGACGGTACAGGTGGTTTTCATCTGGCCTCAGAACGTATATATGAAACAAAGCCTCTGAAAGCATATCTTCAAAATACTGATGGCTCGGGTGAGTTTATTGGTTGTTGATCAGGTGGATGTTTATCCGTTCGCCGAGGATGGTAAAAGACTTGCAAACATTTCATCACCATACGAGGAGGTGTCATCAGTGCGCACAGGTAGCTGATCAGCAACCAAGACAGCATGTTCTTTTATCGATGACAACACAGGGTGTTGTATAACCAGCAACTGGTCTCAAAGAGACAAATGACAGCTCGTGGTAAAACACCCAACGAGGTCCATACAGTGTTCCTCCCTCAGGTGAAGAAGTATAACAGGAATTGGAAATAGTTTTTGAAATCAGATTTGGCCGTGAAGAGAGAGCCTTTAAACGTTTTGCAAAAGGAAAACTGATCACTATCTTTCTGAGTTTCACAACCGGTGTTTTCGCCCTAAGATGTAGGACCAAACCAGTAAAGTAATAGTAAAATTGTCGGTTTTGTTATCATCAGTTTAGTCATACGACTGGGCACAAGAAGCTGATTTCCGCTCAGTAACAGCACGTAAATTTCAACCATCGTCCGAGGAACCAGTGGAATCACTTACGTTTGATGATTTCCTCTGCGAGAAGTGGATTCTCAGCACATTCTTCAAGGAAGATGCTCATCAAAATCGCGAGAGCATTAGATTTTGTACGTAAAGTACACTACGTCAACCTTATGTTCTACTTGAGCCCAAACTGAGCTGATTTCGACAAATACACTCATTTGCGTATAAATCAGGTTTTCACGGTGCACTCAAATGAATCTCTCTTCTAGGATACTATTCAAATGAATTTGCTGCACAAAGACCGCCTTATGTTTCAGGTGGTACGATATTCGAGAAATCGCGGTATATTTTCATGAAGGAAACTACCCGTGAGGTTGCTCAAAACCTTTCAGGTATTACTTCAGCGTAAACTCAGGCACTGCTTTCACCGGATGAGTCCCAAGAAGAGTGAAACCGGTCGTGGGCTGTTGAAGAGTTTTCTGCAAACCTGTGAGTTTTCTTCATGAAAACTGCGATATCTCGAATATCATACCAACTGAAACATGAGACAGCCTTTGTACAACACATTCAGTTGAATAATGTCATAAACGTCACGTTCCGTTGAGTGTTCCATGGAAATTAGATTCATATGCAAATGAGTGTATTTGTCAAAAAGAAACATCTGTTTTCCTGCCAGCTGAATTATCAACGTAAATTTTAACCTAGACGCCGGAAAAGGTTACAGCCAAAGTCAAACAAAACTACGCTGACGAACTCCCAGCGAGCTGATTTGAACGGTTTTAGCATAACCAAGCATCTGCCAAAAAATAGGTCCTACAAATTGAGGTCAAAATGGTAGCAAATCACGCGTAATCAAAAGGTCTTTATAGCGACTCCGTGCGTGTGAAACGCACTAAGATGATGGTGACCTCAATGACCAACGGATCGTACATGCATCAGTGAGACAAGTAAGCACTTTTCAGTAAACTTCTGCTCGCAGTTGCATTTTTTCGTGACGGGAAATGTTATCTGGTTGATCAAGAGGCCTTGGCTTACTGCGGGCATGACATAAAAATATAAAATAATAATAAACAATAAATTAATAAAAGTAACTAATAATAATACGCAGGGGGTAAATGGTTTGGTATGTCACTTTGTGGGAGATGAACATCTTTCTAATGCAATACGCAGGGAAGTGACGGTTGGGGTCTAAATTATGGCGCTCGATTAAAACTCATATCAACTGCTCTCTGAGACTCATGTGAGACGAATGAGGGTACCACGGTGGTGTTTCGATGCATACTGACTGACTGAAATACCAAGACCATCGCTATTCACCCGGTAAATTGGATTTACACACTGCATTGTACATAACTACGAATATAGCCTCGTTCATAAGTATTTGGGGCCAAATAATCCGACCTGTGCACAGCCAAAACGGGATTCGAAACTCGGTGAAAGGACTAATAAGAGCAGTTATGTTTTGGGAATTCTAAGAGCAGACAGTACGCCAATTTCTTCACTTGGTTCTTCGAACACTGACAGCGTTCAGCGTTGTCTTAGTGTTGGTAGTGTGAGAAAACTTGGAAAATTTTTATGAAGTTTGCGCCCTGCAAGTGAAGCCCATCTACCCTGAATAGCCCAGAAGCACTGCACGGTGTCTGTCGGTTTTCCAGTCTAGATTAACTTCATTTACAAAAACCTCCATCGAGATTTCGGTGAGCATCAAATCAAACATGTTGATCACTTCATTTGATATCTGCATCCGACAATGTGTGAAAAAGTATTTGTCCTGAGTTGAATGGAAGTGGAGAAAACAAGGGCTGAGCTTTTTAGTATTGCGCACAGTATATGAGCTAAGAACGATGACAGAACCGAACACTACCTGGTGACCACTACTCACTTCGACGCACCAGCAGATGGGCGACCTGGGTGCCCATTTTCAATCGTGTGGCTAAAAGCAGCTGTGTACAGACTGTATTCTTGCGTTGCTACTTTAAAAGTTCTGTAAGAACAATGGCTTTTTGATGGGTAGATGCAACAACGGACTCTATAACTCTGACTAACTTAACCGAGGTACACTATAGCGCGTAGAACGATTTAGGATTGAAACGTATGTCACTTTTTTCCATTTTCTTCGAAAGTCCTTTCAGTAATTAGCACTTTAATTCATTCAAGAGGAAATCCTCATCTTAAGCAGGATTCGCCCCTTTTTCCTTACCATGGTTATGCTTTCTGGCAAGTACTTATCGTTTTGTCGCCGCTACTTGCTTGTTTTCTCACCTTCACTTTGAACTATAAAAATCACATATTGGTGTGTGAAGAAATGGAGAGTCAAAAATCCA